GGCCGAGATGTCTCGGCCACAGCAGAGATTCGCAGGCACTACCCTTCACAGGCAAACGCGAAGTCTCAAGAGTAGCCTACTCCGAAAGGTAGGGGCCTGGGGGCAGGGATGGAGGCTAAAAAAAGAAAAAAGAAAAAGAAGAAATAAAAAAGTAAAGAAACGACGAACTTCGAATCCACCTACGTGTGAAGGCCGTCAGGTCACCAGTGCTTTGACGAATGTATCTGGCCAGGAAGTGAGGAACATGAAACAGGTCGTTTTCCTTTTTTGTTTTTTGTTGTGAGGTCTCTGTAGCGCCCTGCCAGCCAGGCAGGGCGGATTCCACGCTTCATTGAGTTCCAGACAAGTACTGTAGCATCCTGTATCGGAAGGCAATCACAGCATAAGGGATGTTTTTATTTATTTTTTATTATCTGCTGTTCGGTGATAGACGAGGGCCCTGACTGAACTGCTACGGAAAGGCAACCCGAGTTTCAACTGCAATTGAAACTCGGGCCCAGACTAAACTGCTAAAACGCAGTTTCGAATGCAATTACAAACTATTTTCGTGACTGCGCCGAAGTTACCCCTTTAATATTTTTTTTTAATGTCCGCTTTCAACGGGTTTCGGGTGCTCGTTCGAGTTCGGACGAACATGTTAGTGTTCGCCTCCGAATGAAAACACAATGGTACGTAGCTTTTTATGTGCGTGTGGCCTCTTTTTAAGTTCTCAGAAATGAGTAAATCCATAAACCTAATGAGGTGGGCATGATTCAAATAAGTAAACATGTCCTTCACATCAGAAGTGGCACATATAATGCCAGCCTGATCCTTTAAAATATAATGACATACCGGGAACCAATTCATCAGTACCCATGATTCCAAAGTCGAGTCATAGAAGCTTAATCAGAAAATCCACTCATCTCGAGAGGATCTCAGATCCATGAACAATTTTGTAACCCCTGTCATGAGCGGGGGGGTTGGTGGTTGAGGGGCGGACACTGGTCATGATTTTCGTGATCAGCTCCTACTGATCATTATCCTGGTGAGCGGACAACTGTTTTTTTTTTTTTTTTTCTCCAGGTAGAAGGCTGCATTTATTTGACAGATAAGGGGGGGGAGGCTTTAGAGGAACCCCCCCTTTTTTATTTGGATTTTGTACTAGGCTACCGGCTGGGGCGCCGGGTCACCCTTTCCCAGGCTGTTCGGTCGCGCAAGGACCAAGGAAGGTCCTAG